GGACAGTTTCCAGGTCTTAAATCCAAACTAAGGGGTAACAATCTCTCAGTGGGATCATAATGGAGGTGGTCCTTTAGTTGCTGTCAAATTATGTGCAGAAAATGGGTTTGTGAAGCAGGAGGGATGATCAAAGGCCATTCAGCTTGAGAAGATCAACAAATTGCAGTATGGGTAATTTCCTGAGATGCCACTTCAACATGGAGGTATCCCATCACCAGTTCCTTAAAAACTTTAAATAAGTATTAGAAAAGGCAGCCAGCCCATCATGGAGTGTGACACATGTATGTACGTGCATGCATGTCTGCATGCATGTGCATGTGTCTGTGTGCGCATGCACACGTGTGTGTGTGTGCATGTGCTCACACATTGTGTGTAAGTACCTGTATGTCTGTGTGTATCTGTCTGTGTGCGAGGGCTTGTCTGTGTGTGAGTGCTTGTGTGTGTGAATGCATGTCTGTGTGTGTGTGTGCATGTCGGTGTGTGTGTGTGTGTGTATGTGTGTGTGTGTGTTAGGAGATCTAGGAGGAGTTAAGAGTTCCTCAAGAGTTGCAATTCTTAGCAACTCTTTTTTAATTCATTCACAGGTAGTGTTTTTTTGGAAGTAAGAAAATAAAAATGCCCCAGTTCTGAGGAAGGGTCACCGGACCCGAAATGTTAACTCTGTTTTCTCCTCCACAGATACTGCCAGACCTGCTGAGCTTTTCCAGCAACCTTGTTTTTGTTCCTGATTTACAGCATCTGCAGTTCTTTTGGTTTTTATAAAAATGCCTCCCTCGTTATAATCCTGCAAAGAAGTTCTGGAGCTGAGATGACTTATATTGCTGTGGGTCTGAAAGCACATGTGAGCCAGACCAGGTAAGGATGCAAGTTTCCTTCCCATACACTTCCATTAGGGAAGGAGACTGCCATCCTTACCTGGTCTGACCTATATGTGACTCCAGACCCACAGTAACATGGTTGACTCTTAACTGACCTTTCGGCAATTTGGGATGAGCAATAAATGCTGGCCCAGCCAGAAATACCGACATCCCATGAATGAATTTAAAAAAGTTGCTAAGAATTGCAATAAGATGGCACAATGTTCTGCAAACAAAAGGCAGTGGTTTCATGATCATCATTCGACTCTCTGTTCCAGAATTTTATTGGATTTAAATTCCAGAATCTGCCAGGGCAGGATTCAAACTTGGGTGCCTAGAATATTACCTAGGTCTCTGGGTTAATAATCGAGTGGTAACACTAACAGACTAGTGCCTCCCCCTGTTAAAATCCTGCAAAAAGGTCCTAGAGCTGTGATGACTGACTTCCAACAAGCACAAGCGTCTTCCCTTGTACCGCATATGACTCTAACCAGTAGGACTTGCCCACAATTCCCATTGACTCCAGTTTTGATAGGGCTCCTTAATGCCACAGTCAGTCAAACGTGGCCTTAATGACAAGAACAAATACCTCACCTTTTGATCATATTTAAACTGAGGCTGTAATGAGGTCAAGTTCTGACTGGCATTGATGGAATTCACACTGTGCATCAGTGAGCAGATTATTCTGATGTAATTGTTGTTTGGTAGCACTGTTGAAAACCCCCTTCCATCACTTTACAGCTGATTGAGCATAGACTAATGGAGTAGTAGTTGGCTGGATTGGATTTATCTTGTCCCTTGTGCATCAAACATACCTGGACAATTTTCCACATTGTTGTGTAGATCCCAATGTCTAACTGTACTGGAACAGTTTGTCTTTGATTTTATTTGATATATTGTTGTCACATGTACCTAAGTACAGTGTAAAGTTTTGTTTTGCAGTACAGGCAGATCATAACATACAAGGACATACAGATCATAGGGTGTCTAGACAGAGCGAGGCATACAAGGTTACAGCTGCACAAGAGGTGCACAAAGCAAGATCAACTTTAGATGTAAAATTAGAGAGGTCCATTCAGCAGTCTAATAACTGCAGGGAAGAAGCTGTTCTTGAACCTGTTGGTGCAAGTGTTCAAGCTTCTGTATCTTCTGCCTGACGGAAGAAGTTGAAAGAGAGTATTATCGGGGTGGGAGGGGCCTTTGATGATGCTAGCAGCCTTTCCACAGCAACGAGAAGTGTACATGGAGTCCATGGATGGGAGGTTGGCTTCCGTGATGTTCTGGGTTGTGCACACAGCTTTCTGTAGTTTCTTATAGTCCTGGACAGAGAAGTTGCCATACCAAGTCGTTGTGCACCTGGTTAGAATGTTTTCTATGGTGCATCTGTAGAAGTTGGTGAGGGGCCTTATGGACATGCCTAATTTCCTAAGCCTCCTGAGGAAGAAGGGGCATTGTTGTGCCTTCTTGACCATCGCATCCACGTGGGAGTTCCAGGACAGAGTGTTGGTTATCATCACTCCTAGGAACTATGGAATGACAACTTCTGGAGCACATATCTTCGGTACCATTGCCAGAATGTTGCCAGAGCCCATTGCATTTGATGTATCTAATGCTTTCAGTTGTTTTTTGATATCATATGGAGTGAATCATATTGGCAGAAGCCTGGCATTGAATAATGCCTGGGACCTTAGGATATATCATCTTTTTGGCACTTCTGGCTGAAGATAAATGCAAATATTTCAGCCTTGTCTCTTGCACTGATGTACTAGGATACCCCATCATTGGGGATGGGGATATTTATGGAGCATAAACCTCCAGTTAGTTGTTTAATGGTCCACCATGATTTATGATTTGTGACATGACTGCAAAGCTCAGCTCTGATCTATTGATTGTGGCACCACTTAGTTCTGTCTATTGTATGCTGCTTCCACCAGCTGACATGCAAGTACTCCTGGGTTATACCTTCACCAGGTTCATTCCTCATTTTTACGTATCTTTGGTGCTGCTCCAACTGAGATGGGAAGGGTTGGCCTGGAACTGAGTCTGCAGAGTTTGATGCAGCTACCTGCAATTGACAGGCCATCAATATCAACACCATCTCAGGATATCCCAGGAATCTGTCTTCTACCTAATGACCACTATTGAAATTTTAAATTTCAACGTGTGTTTTTAAAAGAGTAAAAAGCTGCAAAAATGTCTGCAAAAATAAATCTAGTGCCATCTGCACTCTGGAATGTCACACCTGCAGATGTCAAAGAAGTTTCAAATGGAGAAATGCATAAACTAAACTTTAATCACCAGTGATCATCTCAGACTGTGAACATAATAGTTAAAAATGACAGTCGTGTGGATGAGAGACATTCTGTGTTTTCCCCTGTCAAAAATGCACAGGGACAGTGGTAAGAAGATAACTTTAACCCTGGTTTGTGCATCTTAGTGGCCTGATGCCCTAATCTGTAAAGGTTATAGATTTGAGAAAAGCCATCAAACTCCCCCGCAATACAGCTAAAGATAAGGCAAAGACACTTTCTTTCTTTGAATCCTGCCAGCAAGTGTTGAAACACTTTTGTCTTAGTTCTTTTCAATCAACCTTTAAGGTCAATAATCTCAAAACTGACTGTTCAACTAACAACATCAAGGCAACTGGTAGTAATCCCCAAGGCCCTCTTGTAGCACAGTGGCAGTGTCCCTACCCCTAGACCTGGAGACAAGTCCCACCTGCTCCAGACTTTGTGACCTTGATTTGACCCCACAGAAGATATATAAGAATTAGAGTGAGTAAGTTTTCACATTGAAACCAAAAACAAAACTGTTAAAGTCTTTTTCGAGTTTGCATTGCCATAGTATACAGACGTCTGCATTCAGCACTAGGACATTTCTTGCAGAATTAGGGAATTTACTTTCAAGGAGTTAAAAGTTCTCTCCTTTTGACAGTTAGAAGAGTTAGTGAGACACTTTCCTGAAGAAATTCTCCTTTAGTCGCGCCCAAACAACTAGAAAGGATAAATTTGGAGGGAGTGATACAAAACTGAGCATCCCAGGAGTGAGAGAAATATTGAGAGCCCTTCTCAAGACTGGAATTTTGCTGTTAAGATGAAATGTGAGTCCAAAAGGCCTATGTCTTTTAACTGTTGAAAGATGGCACACATTAGGGCACTTAGAATTATCAGGGTGCATACACCCCATAGGAGTCAGTCACAGAGTATAGCAGACCAGAGATGTCCTGCAGCTTTTTTAAAAGCAAAATCCAAGTAATGTGGTCAAAATTTTAATAGGCACAGAAAACAAGAGAAGGGGCAGTTATTAAAACTTAAATCTCATTGAACGGCCTCAGTGTTATCATCACTCAAACATAAGTCACTCATGTCACTCAATGGCAACAGATCACTCAGAACATTGCCAATTTCTTGTAAAACTATTCTCAGTAGAACTGCAGGAGTCCCATCTTTCTTTGAATTTCCCAGAGATGATTATTCTCTACATACATCAGATTTGACCAAAAATATACAGATGGCAGGTAATCTATAATCTTTACATAACCTCTGTAAAGTAGCATTAATCGCAAGCCATTTTCGCAATGGAAAGTCGTACTCAGTCTCAATGGACATTTTAATGGCAGCTGTGTATGCGGTACCTTTGTATCTTGATTAATTGTTCCAACGTTAGACACTGATAATATATAAGAGCTACATTGATACTTCTTAATAAGTGGCTTAGTGTAGAGACTGTAGGAGCTCTCATGCATGGAATTTTTTTTTAGCTTACAGCCTTTGGATAACACAAATGAGTTTCCCTCTTATGAAATGCCGATTAAAACCTAAATGCTGTTGTCAAAATGTGAGACGCTGATGCCAACAGACTGAGTCAGCATCTCTCTACAGCTGCCTCTGGCTAAAAAGCAGAGAAATATTATCTGGGGAGAAATGGTACAAAAATATTTATAGTGTGTTTCTGAGCGTGTGCAGTTCAGCGTTACAAATTGGTTTGTCAGACCAGAGAATACAAGGGCAAGGGAATGGAGTAAAACTGAAGCTTGATATTGTCAGCAATAGGTTTATTAACCTGTGAATCTTTATGGATAAAATAATGAACAATCACCTCGAGAGTTACATTCTGCTTCTCCTTTTATTTTAATATATACAGTGATGACTTCTGCAGCATGGTTTTGTCTCAGTGCAGCCTGCTGTGACTGAAGCAGTAGCAACATGTTCAGTGTGGAGGACCTCCTGATTTCTCATGGCTATCAACCCCCAAAGAAAAGTTCAAAAGACAAACCCCTGCCTTCCGATGAGAACATCTATACCAGCTGCCGTTGCGAAGTGAGAGAGAACAAGCCTAGCCATGGCACAGTGAATGGATATGAGACTGACACTGGGGCCTATTCTGCCAGCAGGCATGCACGCAGTCTGGAGGGCTCCTACAGTGACAGTGAGGGCAGGGAAAGGAGTGCAAGAAGACAGGCTGGTGTCAGCTGCTGCGCTGATGTGCAGCGTTTGCCCACGTTTGCCACAAAGGAAGGAGGGTGAGTACATGAGCTGTTGCAAAATAAAAGGAAAGCCTTTACAGCATACATCTGAATGTTGTGATGTAATGTGCTGATGCTCTCCTATACAGGAATGAAGAATGCTTGTGAACAACTGGGTGCATTGCAAATGTGGTCACCTGTACTGCATTTAATGCCATTAGAATTGAGTGGAATTTACTTTTATTTCATAAATCCTTTTGAAAGCTGTTCAATGGTTTCCAATGCTGTTCGTTTCTAAATTTAACTTGAATTTATTTGGAAGATGTGAAATATTTTACAGGGATGTCTACTGCTTATTGCACAGGGGAAGCATTACAAATGACTTAAAATCAATAGCAATTGAAATTACAGAAACAAAATGCTGGGTTCCTTATGAAATGATGTTTGTGATAGTTCATTTGTTCATACTGCCTAAAAATATTATTACAATGTAAAAATCAATGAGGTGACCATCACTTAATTCACTGTTGCAAATTGCATTGCATTGTGAGTTCCATTGCAAATTTATACTATTTTCACTTGCTATACAAGGGGTCCCCAATTTACAAATGTCAGACTTGTGAATGCTCATACTTAGGAACAGATTTCGTACAGGGGTGTCATTTTAAAGATCCAACAACATGAACCATTTCTTGTACTTATGAATGGTTACTTCATATTGTCCTGCATGCTATTCCGACTTGTGGACAAATCAACTTGCAAATGGACTCAAGAATGCAACCCAGGGAATCGTCAAAAATATCACGATATTGGAAAAATGTTTCCAATCAGGTTAGCTGCCCTCATGTTTTCATGGGTAAATTCATCATGTAATAGCCTGCTAGATCATTCACATCTGTAAGATCTGTGAATGATCTGTGGGGGAGGCAGGATGGGGTGGAGAGGGGTGGTGGTGGCAGAATGTTCAGATCCCACCAGAGATAGATGGGACCTAAGATGATCAGCATTAGCCATCATGCTGGTTTCCCACACCCAATCCCAACACCAACCATTTTAAGAGAATGGGCTTTGGGATCCTGCATTCCTACAACCTCCCCCCTCCTTATGAAGGTATTGGCAGGAAGAGACAAGGAATTTCCAGTTCTCTGAAGTGATAGAGTGTAGTCTAGCTGCCTGAAGGACAGGACCAACAGCAAACCAGGGATAGGGGGAGCAGTACTCAGAGCAGAGCTACCAGCCTTCAATGCCTGACAGCCAAGTTGCATATCTAATGATAACTAATAATTAAATAATACTTTGACGCTTAACTAGTTCAGAGTCACAGTGGGGTTGGCAAATGGGTAAAAGTGGGGCCTTTCTCTGGCAATGAGCCTGTCTGGAGGGGCATTCAGCCCTGAGTGTTCTCATTCTAAACCCATCGCCATGGGAGACATGGGCCATCTTTTCCTTTCTGAGGCAAGTAGCCAGGTTCCCCAGGCATGCCTTGATCAGTATAATTTGTGCTTGGAGAGTGAGCCATTCTTTTCTGAGGTGTAGCGGGGTGTGGCTGGAGAGCAGGGGGAGCAGGGGCAGGATAAAGTCCGCCCTTGATCCTGGAAGTAGAGGCTAGTTGGTCATGGGTGTGGACAAGTGTTGAGGCAAACTGGTTAAAATGCCCACATCAGTTCTCCAGGGCTTTGTGCCAGATATTTTACAACTTTTGAGGTCCCATGCTGCTCACCTCTCACACTGTCCACTCACATCATATGGCGCTACATATACCCCCAATACCACATCCATACCAATGCACACACCCCACGGACCACACACTCTCATCATCCCCATGCCAGCTCCATGTCCACCTATGCTCGTGCCAACCCCAATAGCTCCTCACATTCCTCATGCCAATGCATATTGCCCACCTACCTCTATAGCCTGTCACACCCTCCATGAGACTTCCATTGCCACTCATCCAGTAATCACTGTGGGCAAATCTCAGGCATTATGTGAAAACAAAGCTTCTAAAAATCTAATATATCTCTTACCTATCCAATCTTAATGGTGACAATCATGAAATCCAAGCTCTATTCAGACACCAAATTCAAGACAGATAATCATATTTTTTTTTTCTTTACACTGTCAACTGTGAATGCAGACCCCCTACTTAGATAAATGTCACCTTTGAAACTCAGTCAAGCATTCAAACCAACGTGAAAATGTAAACGAGGAAGCCCTATTGAAACTAAACAAACAGGATCATTTTATTTTAATCTATACCAGATGTACTGTCAATCAAAGCAGTCAACAGAGGTTTCCTTAAAGGCTGCAGCCTTTTTATTTGCTTAAATCTTGGGTATTGAGAAACCTTTGATCCTGAAATCGTAACAGACTTTTATCGGCCCTTCAAGAGCATTTACATGTAGTCCATCAATTCTTGACTCCCACATTATGAGTTAAGGCTTTTGCAAGAGCCCAAATGGAGTCTGTTTTAACTCTGTATGAAGTGCACATGGCTCTGCTGAGTTCAGTTTCCTTTGTGCATGATTTATATTCCACCTCCCTCCCTCCACCCCCACCCTCCACACCACCAACACCTGAAGGCAACTAGTCTGTCCAAAATGGAGGGGGGCAGTGAGGTAAGGGCAGGTCTTCTGGTTTTGAAACTTCCTTCACAATTATCCATCTATAAAGTTGGCTTAAAATTAACTCTACTAAGTAACATCTAAGCTATCTACAGGCCCATTGATATCTGGGTTCAAACTAGCAAAGTTAGCTGTTCTGTTCTAGAGCTAACAAGGTGTAGAAGAAGAAGGGTCCAGACCCGAAACGTCAGCTTTCCTGCTCCTCTAATGCTGCTTGGCCTGCTGTGTTCATCCAGCTCTACACCTTGTTATCTCAGATTCTCCAGCATCGGCAGTTCCTACTATCTCCGAGCTGTTCTATCCTATTCATTTGTGGGGTGTGGGTGTCGCTGGCTGGGCCAGCATTTCTTGCCCATCCCTAGTTGCCCTTCAGAAAGTGTTGGTGAGCGGCCTTCTTGAACCGATGCAGTCCTCCTGTGTAGGTTGACCCACAATGCTTTTAGGGAGGGAATTCAAGGATTTTGACCCAGTGATAGTGAAGGAACGGTGATATATTTCCAAGTCAGAATGGTGAGTGACTTGGAGGGGAACTTGGAGATGGTAGTGTTCCCATATGTCTGATGCCCTTGTCTTTCTATAGATGGAAGTGGTCATGGGTTTGGAAGGTGCTGCATGAGGATCTTTGGTGAATTTCTGCTGTGCTTCTTGTAGATAGTACACACTGCTACTACTGAGTGTCGGTGGTGGAGGGAGTGGATGCTTGTGAATGTGGTGCCAATCAAGTGGGCTGCTTTGTCCTGGATGGTGTCAAGCTTCTTGAGTGTTGTTGGGGCTGCACCCATCCAGGCAAGTGGGGAGTATTCCATCACTTTTCTGATGAAGGGTCTAGGCCCGAAACGTCAGCCTCTCTGCTCCTATGATGCTGCTTGGCCTGCTGTGTTCATCCAGCCCTGCACCTTGTTGTCTCGGATTCTCCAGCATCTGCAGTTCCTACTATCTCAGTATTCCATCACACTCCTGACTTGTGCCTTGTAGTTGGTGGACATGCTTTGAGGAGTCAGGAGGTGAGTTACTCGCCACAGTATTCCTAGCTTCTGGCCTGCTCTTGTAGCCATTGTGTTTATGTGGTGAGTCCAGTTGAGTTTCTGGTCAATGGTAACCCCCAGGATGTTGATAATGGGGGATTCAGTGATGGTAACACCATTGAATGTCAAGGGACGGTAGTTAGATTGTCTCTTATTGGTGATGGTCATAGCCTGGCATTTGTGTGACGCGAATGTCACCTGCCACTTGTCAGGCCAAGCCTGGATATTGTCCAGATCTTGTTGCATGTGGATATAGACTGCTTCAGTGTCTGAGGAGTCACGAATGGTGCTGAACATTGTGCAATCATCGACGAACATCCCCACTTCTGACCTTAAGATGGTGTGAAGTCATTGATGAAGCAGCTAAAGATGGTTGGGCCTAGGACATTACCCTGAGGAACTCCTGCAGAGATGTCCTGGAGCTGAGATAATCGACTGCCAACAACCACAACCATCTTCCTATATGTCAGATGTGACTCCAACCACCAGACAATTTGCCCCCGATATCCATTGATTCCAGTTTTGCCAGGGGCCCTCGATGCCACAATGGGTCGAATGCAGCCTTGATATCAAGCGCTGTCACTCTCACCTCACCTCTGGAATTCAGCTGTTTTGTCCATGTTAGAACCAAGGCTGTAATGAGATCAGGAGCTGAGTGGCCCTGGTGGAACCCAAACTGGGCGTCACTGAGCAGGTTATTGCTGAGCAGGCGCTGCTTGATAGCACTGTTGATAACACCTTCCATCAATTTACTGATGATCAAGAGTAGACTGATGGGGCGGTAATTGGCCGGGTTGGATTTGTCCTGCATTTTTTTGTGCACAGGATATACTTGGGCAATTTTCCACATTGTCGGATAGATACCAATGTTGTAACTGTACTGGAACAGCTTGGCTAGGGGCGCGGCAAGTTCTGGAGCACAAGTCTTCAGTACTATTGCTGTAATGTTGTCAGGACCTGTATCCTTTGCAGTATCGAGTGTCTCCAACCGTTTCTTGATATCATGTAGAGTGAATCGAATTGGCTGAAGACTGGTATCTGTAATGCTGGGTACCACTGGAGGAGGCTAAGATGGATCATCCACTCGGCACTTCTGGCTGAAAATTGCTCTGAATGCTTCAGCCTTATCTTTTGCACTGATGTGCTGGGCTCTTCCATCATTAAGGATGGGGATATTTGTGGAGCATCCTCCTCCAGTGAGTTGTTTAATTGCCCACCACCATTCACGACTGGATGGGGCAGGACTGCAGAGCTTAGATCTGATCCGTTGGTTGTGGGATCGCTTAGCTCTGTCTATCAGTTCCTGCTTATGCTGTTTGATGTGCAAGTAGTCCTGTTTGGTGGCTTCATCAGGTTGATACCTCATCTTCAAGTATGCCTGGTGCTGCTCCTGGCATGCCCTCCTGCACTC